ATCTACAGCTCAGCTGGGAGAATCTGCAGACTGTTGTTTGTAATGCTCTATGCTAACCTGTTTTTTTTACAGAAGAGTGGCCAGAAGAAGCCGTGAGGCATCTAATTTAAACCCACATTAGACATATGGAAGCAATAGCAGGCAAAACAAAGAAGTTGTCCTGGTCAGATGAGAGTAAAATGTAACTTTTCCAATATGACCGCGGGATGTATAGTTCACCATTCAACACAATTATGACCCTAAACAAATTATAATGAAATTAAAGAGTGGCCCACACAAATCTGGACCTAAATCCAAAACAGCATCTGACTTTAAACTTCATACTCACACATTATTTATCCAATCATACTTGGCTGGAGCAATTTTCCAAAGAAAAATGGGCAAAATCTTTTGTCTCTAGATGTGCAGTTAAAGGCACATTTCACTACACCTTTACCTGCAGTGAGAAGTAGTTTTACAAAGGATAAATAAATGCACGCTTTCAAATAAATGTTGTGTTTCCATTTGCATTTATGTTAGTTTGTAGAAGCTCTCCTGGTCAGTGCATAGAGACTTTCAACTTAGTTCTTCGCTGGATCAGAAGTTATCTCTGCAACAGGCAACAATTGAGCAACTTTCAGACATCATGCTTGGACTTTGTTTATGGTACCCCCTAAGGGTCAACTTTGAGAAAAAATATTTATTTTATATACAAATATTATGTCAAATTTCATTGCATTTTTTGGTTTTGTAGATTAATTTTTTGGTGAGATGAGAATTTACAACAACTCTCTGCTAAAATCAATTTGCAAAAACCCAAAAGTGGTTTAATAAATAATTACATTGAGATAAAACCACGAGTTTTATGGCAAGAAATGTTTTTACTATACGAGCCTAAAGCAGACCAAATGCAGATTAACCTAGCCAATTAAGAAACAGTGCAAGTCAAATTTAAAATGCCATAAAGTTTGGTTGAACACATAATAATATTTCCAGAAAGCCAGGAAATCTGTAAATTAATAATTATTTTAACAAACCTACTGCACTAATTCACCTCTTTTATCCCACTTTGAAAGTGTTTTGTCAGCAACTTGGAGAACTTCCCACAATTCGTTTGTGAATTTCAGTTTCTTCACATCATCTCGGTGTGTTTTTATGAATTCAGAGCTCCATGGAGGCCTCACCATCTGCTCCTTCACTTCCAGTGATTTTGTTCTTACTCAGCCCATGTGCATGCTGTCGCACTGCAAAATGAGTTTTAGATGATTCTGGCACCTCAGTGCTGAAACTGAGAAGATTAGGAGTTTTAAAAGGTCTTAAAATTTTCTTCTTTTTTTAAATTTATAATCTGCATGTGTTTGGGGAGGATTTAGATGAGGTAGGAGAGATGAATTTGAGGTTTGAGGTTTAGCTTATTCATACTGAATGAATTTCCCTCTACAGTTAGAATATAGCTGGATTGTAGGAAATATGTGAAGGTGATATTCTAGCTTCAGAACTCTTCATACTTGCCAATAAGTTTCTTTATTTTCCTGGCACGTTCAGAAAGAAGAACTCATGCATGAGGGACCCAAAACACTCTGTAATGATCACTTCCAGTCAGTCACACCAAATCTGTGAAGCCTGTGGTTGGTTCTTATTTTTCTTCAGTGAATCTGCAGCTGTTTGTGAATTATAACAGGGCTTTTCTTCTTCTTTTTCTTACTGCCAGGACAGATTTTGTGGGTGTGCTTTAGGGATTGCTCTCTGGTGAGATGATTTTGAAGTCAGGTTTAGTCGGAAGGTCCTTGCAGTGTGATACACATGTAATGAGGTTGCAGCCTTAAAATTTATGACCACTCTGATAATAAATGGCTCTATATTATCAAACTAATGGATGAATTGAAATGTAAAAAGATATTTTATTGATTGATTCTTATATTTTGCCGTTTTTCTTTCAGTTTCTTTAGTCTTGTTTGATTTACAGAAGTGTTGCTATGATTTTCTTGTAATTGTCAAGAATATCTTTTTTTTTTACTTTGAGCCCTTTCTTCACGTAGGTTTTATCAACCATCCCCATCTACCCAATATTAATGCCAATTTCTCCTGTTACTGTTCTAACTACGTTAGAATGAGTCAGAATATTTGGATTAATGGCTGCTTCAGCCGTGTTGCTGAATAGTGAGAGGAAAGTAGCTGCAGGGACTTCTGAGCAGCAACGAGAGGAGATTTTCTGGGTGAACGAGGTCTTATGTAAATGAAGCTGCTTAGTGTATCGTTGAAAACATCATCCTGCAGCTGTGGTCGGGTTCCTAAAAAAACATGTGCAACTCAGCTGACAGTTGCATCCTCTCGCTGTCATTCACACAACCAGTGAGAATAAGAAACAGATTGCTGAGTCATGATTCAGCACCGCTCAATGTGTGGCTCATTGCTTGATGAGTGCCTCTGAGGGAATTTTTCCATTAAGTGAAATGTTTCAATGGCATATTCTCAGTGTCGATGCTGTGATTACTCCTGTTATATAATAGGTTGCAAGATTATTCATATCCCTGAAACATTTTCACATTTCGTCATGTTTACAACCAAAAAAAAAAAAGAAGTGCGTCAAACAAAGTAGAAGAATACTCAAGTGTTGTTTGTCTGGTTGAACAGTTTAAACCAGAGCTGAAACATGAAACAATATCCCAGGTTTTGAACATCTCCCAAAGCATTAATTAACTTGAATGTGAAATGAGGATGCATGACTGCAGACGTACCAGACCATCCACCTAAACTGACAAAGCAAATCATTTACATTGGAGGTTGAGGTTGAAACCTGCCAAACACTGAAACGTGAACAACCTCAAGAGGCTTTAACACAGCACTATATTTTAATAGTAAGAATTTCAACAGAAAGGAAACAGAGCATAAAAAATGTGCTTTAAAGATAAAGCAAAAAAAAAAAGACAATGAGCAAAAAACGACTTAGATAATTATCAAGTTGTTTATGCATTCAGGTTTGACACTACAAACCTGCAGTGGTAATACTTCTGCCAGAATGTCTAATTAGTTCAAAGAGAGCATGTGGTGTGGGAATAATACCATTCATCATAATGCTGATATTTGGACAGTAAATATGTTATGCCTTCAACCTGAATTTTTTTATGTCAGAGTAAGTCAGTCCAGTCAAATCAAGTTGTAGAAATTTGAACTACAGAACCCCAAATCACTCACTGCACTTTAACATTACTTTCCAGAAAGACGCCGCTCTCTCAGGGACAAAATAAAAATTCAAATATTCAGGAACAAATTCAGTGACAAAACCAGCAACAGAAAACGCTTTGGCCGTCGTGGCAAAGAAATAACATCTTGATCATGAGAAACTCTGCACTCATGACACTCATAGTAGACAAATAATCCTCATCCATCTCACCATGTCTTCTTCCATAGACACAATCAAACACTATTTAGCATCATACTCTTTTCCCTGTAGCTTCTTCTCTCCTGCCAGCATCATGTCTGGCCAGGCCACAGCATGTGGCAGCCTGCAGGCATCAGCTTGACCTTTTCTGCGCTGAGCAGCACCAACCAGACCTCTGAGACTACCGCAAACCGCCTGCAGTGCTCAGAGATGTTGTCAGAGCCCAACATTATACTCTCACAAAATAAACATGCTGAACAGAGAGTCTCTTTGGAGGCGACCTAATTGCCCTTTTCCAGTAGCACCTGTTCGATGTGGCTTGACTCGATGCTACTCAGTCAGGATTTTCCACGTGGTACCAGACACTTTGTTAGAACCTACTTTAATGCAGGTCCCAACTATGCTGAGGTGGGTTGAAGATGCAACATTGGAAGATCGCCTGTTCCTGATTGGGGAGGCGGAAGCGTCACCGTTTGTTTCCAACTATTTCCTGTATCTTCAGTGTTTCATCAGTCTTTCTATGAGTCAGACAAAAAGCCACAGACTGAGCAGGCTGCTTCGCGTAGCTGCCATGTAACCATTGTTGTGATGCATTTTTTCACATATAAATAACATCTTTTACTTTTCGAACTGGGGCGGCTCACGATGAAGGATTGAGTTTAACAGCTCACTATTTTGAGTTTGGCTCAAATAATATCAGAACATTTTTGGCAAAACTTATTTAATGTAGATTTTTTTTTTATTTCAAACCTGAATAAAACAAAATGTCCACTGCTTTTTTCACATTAAGCACAAGACAAGCTGATATGCTGTTTGCTTTCATAGTTTAAAGACTTACAGTAATCTATGCTAAACTTATAAATCTGAGGATTCGTGGAATCATCATGAGAAAACAGATGGCAGCTTGATAATAAGAGCTTTGCTTTCTACATATTTTGCAGCAGCTGTTTGGATTCCCTCACTGATAATTACTGACACCATTTTAGACATTATTTAGAGAAAAAGGTTTTTCATTGAAACAAACATCAATTGCATGGCAGCCACAAAGATTAGGCCATTAAGTGTAGGTTGAGTGAGTTTAATAAATGTTTCATGGCCACAATGGACTGAACATAGTGGCGATCCGTAGAACTCCAACTTAAAACAATCTTTTCTCTTTTACTCCTCATAAAATCACTAAATAAATGTTCTAGTTCCTGCATCAGTGATGCCAACCTCATTTTATTTTTTCATCTCAGTTTCGGCATCTTACCAGAGCAATATCTCAGTAAAAGAGCGAAGATATTTTTTTTTTCTTTTCTGGAGCCACATTTCCCTCAGCTGTTGTTTTTGAAGTCTCTTCCTGGTAACAGAAATAGGAATGCTACTCAAGGGACTATCTGTGTGTGTTATTGACGTTGAACTGGGGAAAATTTTCAACAGGAACAAGTTTCTGGCAAATGCGTCACTGATGTTAATGTCAACCTGCAGAGCTTCCAATGCTCTTGCACAGAATTAGACCAAAGGAACTGAATTTAAAGACAAAAGTAGTCAATCACTTGAATTCATGTTATTGCATACTTGCTATAAAAAGTGACTGATCAGCGAGTAACAAGTCATGGATGCAGGGTGTATAAAAACGTATCCAGAGCAGACTCACCTAGTCCCAAGCACGACACTCTGAGCCCAGACTTCCCAAGGTTCCTGTGTGAACAAAAAAAACATTTAATCAAGTTCTGCGTATCTACAAAAGTCAAGTTGGTCTTATTTGTATTTGTTCATGTAGCAGGGATGCAAATGAATGTATGAATTTGTCATAATAAATTACTGAAGACATTTATTATGACATCCAGTAATTGCTTTATTCCAATCAGTCAAGCAGTCAATCAGCTTTATCTATAAAGCACCCTTCATGCTGGAGGCAGCTCGCTGGAAACACATATTAAAGGATATTTCTGAACTGGGTTTGAACCGTCACCGTCTGCAGGTGCAAATACCAGAGTTGTGAAGTAAACTGAAACTGGTGGGATACTCCCTTTTCCACCCCTCATTGTAAAAAGGCTGGTGGATATAAAAAGCAATGTACCTTCATCTTTTCTTCACTTCTCTGAACTAGTCAGGGAAATCATTTCTCATATTCTTTGCTTAATTCATTAATGAAATAATAATCAAATTGCATCTTGATTTGCTCTTGATTGACTCAGTGATTCACCTTAGATGAGATTTATTTACTTCCTTAATGCATTTCAAATCATAAAACTGACACAATAGAGGCTGATACGTAACAGAACAACCAGAAGGCTTCTTGTTTTCAAACGAGACAGGACATGGCATTTATTCTGACTATTATGACAACCATGAAACAACTATTTGGGTTTGAATTTGTTTTGACAAGAAGTCACTGTCATTTTCTTGACCTTGTAAAATGAGACTCAGTCATATTCAGGTATGTACATCTCCAGCTGAGAGACGATTAGAAACTGGTCAGTAACACAACAGTGCCATCTCCAAATTGTTCTTTGTATGGTTCTGGTGCACTAATTTGCAATATTACAGCTATAGATGGGAGCACAATATGTGTTTCATGTGTTTTTTAAGCTTTCAAACCTAAAAGAAATATACAGTAGCGTTTTTTGAGTGTTTTTTTTTTCTTTCATAAATTAAAGTGACATTTTGTGTTATTTTGGAATATATTTACTCATAAAAATGGTAAGTGCGTTTAGTTTTCCTCTTTTGTTGCCAACTCAGTCCTTTGGGAAATGTTGATGATACATCACCACTCCGATGAGTTTTTTCCACCAGACTTTGTCCTTCTCATCAGTTCCTGCACTCTGCAACTATCCAAGTCATCTGTAATCAAGCCTTCGGAACATTTATTGTCCCATCACATCAGCTTGCTCTAAACTCTGTCCACCGGACAGATAGCATGCACACACACACACACACACACACACCCACACACACACACCCCCACACACGCACACACCCTCCATTGGCTCTCCATACATGAGGTCCCACCCTGGAGCCACCTTGGCCTGGGGCTGGGGCACGCTGGGGAGCCCCTGGTGGCCGGTGGTGGTATGACAATAAAAACCCTTGAATCCCTAAACTATATCAACAATATGTGCACCAAGCAATACATACACTTAGCATTCCACAAATAAATGCTTTTAATATGGTTAAGAATAATAATTGTACTGTCAATAATTGAGGCCTAATCGATGTCCTTAGTGACCAGAGGAACAATAAGGCCTTAATCAGCCCAGAGGTTCAAACTGATGAAACATGAGGATGGAGGCTCTCTATTAAAACATTCCTCACCATCTTCCATGTTCTTTCAGCAAACAGTTGAGACAGAGCTGGTTTTGGTTCCACCACCAATTGAAAGTTTTCTTAAAAGTCTGTCTGTCAGTCTGCAGATCATGTGACCAAACCAGAAAAAACACTGGAAATATAGATTACAGCATTCCTTGTTTTACCTGGCAGCCATCTTGGTAGGTGGTTGCTATGACAACAATAAACAAGCCACAACAATACCAGAACATTACAAACTTTGTTTACGTCTATTATGATACATTTTCTTTCCCACTATCGTTTTCTATCTGGCCCCAAATGGAAATGAGTCGGATGCTCCTGATATACGAGTTAAAAACAAGTGAATCAGGAATTACTCTGGTTTTCAAGGTAAAGAATAAAGAGTAGGATAATTGGTGGTGGAATGATGTCACTCCACCAGCAAAGGGAGATTCTGTGATGTCACAGCCGATGCCATCAGTGATGTCATCAACTGGAGAATTGTATGTGACACAATTCTGCAAATTGGTCATTGCTTGCAATACCCCTGACTTGTTCAGACGCTCGCAAAGCTCTTTAAGGAAGTTTTCCAAACGACGATTTTAGCGAAAGCATTAGGAGAAAAAATGTCTCATCGTTCACCGAGATTCAACTTTGAACTGATTGGACCCCACGGGAGAAGGGAAGCCCAGCAGAACCACCAAGGCGGGTTCCCTCCCGTGCAGCCAATGCCTCCATGAGGAAATCGGTAGGCTGAGCTCCCTCCTGGAGATGGAGAGAGCTGGAAGGTATGAAGACCACCAGCGACTGGCCCACCTGGAGGCAGAGCTGGAGCGAGAGAGAGAGAAGAGTAAGGGCCTCCAGGAAGAAATGGAGGCACTTCAGACTTCGTACAAGGAGCTGAGCTCCAAGTACGAAGCTGAAGTTGCTCTGGTGAGGAGAGGAAAAGCCTGTAATAGAAGCCATCAAGAGAAGTCAGAGGAGGACCTGGCCATTCTCCGGAACATCAAAGCCGAGAACGCCGTCCTCCTGGAAGAGACCAGAAAAGAGATTAACCTGCAGGAGAAGGTCAGCAGCTCCCAGGATGACTTGCAGAAGGCTGACGGGTTGTACAAAGAGCTCCACTGCCGGTACGAGACAGACATCATCCATCTGCAGCAGCAGAATGAATCGTACCGGCAGAGGATAAAACAACAGACAATAGCCCTTTCTAACAGAGAGCAGCTTCTCCAGGAAAGAACGTTTTGTGCCCTAAAACAGCAAGTTAGAAAACGCAGCAGCAGATCAAACAGGAGAGAGAAAGTTATCAACAGAAATCCAAGGAGGACGAGGCTATGCTCGACACCATCAGAGCAGAGAACGCCGTCCTCCTGGAAAAGACCAGAAAAGAGGTTAAGATCCTGCGAGAGAAAGCAGCGCCAGGATGATTTGCAGAAGGCTGACGGTAGGTACAAAGATCTCAGCTGCAGATACGAGACGGACATCACTGCTTTGATACAACTAACAGAGCAGTACCAACAGCAGGTGACTTGTCTGCAAAATGACTTGGAGAGAGCCAGACAGGATCTGTCTGGCTCTTACCAAGTCATTTCTGACCTGCTGAGAAAAGAGAAGGATGGTTCCCAAGAGAAGGAGGTAAGTTCTCTAATCCAACTCGACCTGGTCCAAGTTTCCAGCCAAGCGGTTTCTTTGGAGGAGGAGCTTTCTGGAGGACCTTGTTCCACGGACCAAGAATCCACGGAGGAGATCCCTGGCGAATCTGGCATGGAAGAGTTGGATAATCCACACACTGACACCATGCAGGAGGGTGAGAAGAAAAAGCCTAAATTTTCAATCTGGAAAAAAATTTGTAACACTCTGCGACTGAAGAAGTGAAAAAAAAACAAAAGAGTGAAAACATTTAGAGAAGAAGCAAGACATGCAAGAGAGACTGAGGACTGGAATCAGACGCAGGAAGGTTGTAGCGTCTGCGTTCGGGGCGCCATGCGACGCTCCGACAGCAGGACGTTTACAGCAGCTACGTTTTTCCCCAAATTTGATCCCTTCCCCACCCAATTGAAAAAACGTGGGCAGCACGGTGGCGCAGCGGTTAGCGCTGCGTCTTCACAGAGACCCTCTGTGTGGAGTTTGCATGGTCTCCCCGTGTTTGCGTGGGTTTTCCCCGGGCGCTCCGGTTCCCCCCACATCTCCTAAAACATGCAGGTCAGGTCAGTTGGTCGCTGCAAATCGCCCCCAAAAAGAAACTCCCAACACATTTTATTGTGTTTTATTGCTAAACTTGTCAAAATTAGGTTTTATTTAGGACGTGACTGAAAGGTTTTGTTTGTCAACCTGCGTTTGATTCCCAGTCCTGGGGAATCTGCTGCATGTCTTTCCCTTCTCTCTCCTCCCAATTTCCAAATGATTGGGAGGGGCCTAAAAAACTTAATTAGAGCCTAAAAAACTTAATTAGACCCTAAAAAACTAAAACATTGACTTTATCTCACAAATGGACCCAAAAAAAATCTACTTTCTTTCTCTCTCTCCCACAAAATTAACTGATTACTTAACACACACTCACAAGCATAACCAAGCCTTCCCCACCCAATTGAAAAAACGTGGGCAGCACAGTGGCGCAGCGGTTAGCGCTGCGTCTTCACAGAGACCCTCAGTGTGGAGTTTGCATGGTCTCCCCGTGTTTGCGTGGGTTTTCCCCGGGCGATCCGGTTCCCCCCACATCTCCTAAAACATGCAGGTCAGGTCAGTTGGTCGCTGCAAATCGCCCCCAAAAAGAAACTTACTTAACACAGACACACACCCACACACACACACACACACACATCCCCTCCATGGGCTGCCACCTTATCGTGGTGGGGGGGTTTGCGTGTCCCAGTGATCCTAGGAGTTCTGCTGCCCAGCGCAGACGGGTTCTAGGTGGGGAACCAGACCAAGTGCAGCCCAAAGATCCCTTATGATGATAGGACCGTTGGAAACAGGGGTTGTTCTCTCCGTACATGAGGTCCCACCCTGGAGCCACCCTGGCCTGGGGCTGGGGCACGCAGGGGAGCCCCTGGTGGCCGGTGGTGGTATGACAATAAAAACCCTTGAATCCCTGAACGATATCAACAATATGTGCACCAAGCAATACATTCACTTAGCCTTCCACAGATAAATGCTTTTAATCTGGTTAAGAATAATAATTGTACTGTCAATAAATGAGGCCTAATCAATGTTCTTAGTGACCAGAGGAACAATAAGGCCTTAATCAGCCCAGAGGTTCAAACTGATGAAACATGAGGATGGAGGCTCTCTATTAAAACATTCCTCACCATCTTCCATGTTCTTTCAGCAAACAGTTGAGACAGAGCTGGTTTTGGTTCCACCACTATTGACCTGCTGTTTTACCCGCCATTGAAAGTTTTCTTAAAAGT